ATACTACAGGGTCTCCAGCCTTTCCTTTTGTTACTCGACATACTGGTGCCTCAGACTTGAATCAACAGGCCTGTCTACATAGGCACTCCATTTAACTCTGCTCTACTGTATTGCAGATTTTTCATGGGCCCACTCAAAGTTATTTTGTTTTTATAAATAACTGGGTTTTTGTTTGTTTGCTTGATTGTTTGTGTGTGTTGGGGGGGGGAGAATGAAGGCTTCTACCTCCTACTTCATCATCTTGATAATGTCACCTCTTCCCAGGTTGTGTTTCAGGAATTTTCTACCACTTTGAATTGATTCTTCTAAATATTAGATTTTTTTCCACTTTACATCATACTTTTGTTATCTAAGATTTCTAATGCATATAGTTTCAAAAGTCCAGAAAAAACAAGTTCTCTGATCTCACAGATTTAGGAAATATCTTAGTTTTTAAAGATGAAAATATGTATCATTTGGAATATATGTGTCATATGTAGAATACCCACTTACAGGTTTCAATGACTATTTGAAAGTCTACCATTTTTATTTCACTTATATCTATAATTCTCTCTCTCTCTGCATACATGCATACATTTATACATGTGTACATACATACACACATACACACATACACTATTATTACTTTATGTAGTTCCCCTACTCATTAAATTATGACAATGAAAATTAAGGCAAGAGTTATTATAATTTTAGATAATATACCTTGAAATGCACAAATATTATGCAAGCAGTTTTGACAAATGGGGATGACAGCGTATGCCATATCTTTATAATGACACAGCCAGTTCTGTTTTCCCTCATAACCCTTTGTAGTCTATCCTCAGCTTTCCAGGAAAATGCTGTTATGATCACCTGAGGTTAGTGTCACCTTAGGTTTCATAAGTGGAATCACAATGCATGGACTTTTTCATTTAAAGGAGAATTTGCCAGCATGGATCTCTCATTAAGGAAAGAGAACAAAAAAAATGACAGAGAAGAATGAAAATTAGGTAGTGAATAGTAATTGAAGCAATTTAAAGTAATGCAGACCAAATGAGCTTAGAAAAAGCCTATCTAACTGAAGTCATCCCTGCCCTATGCTTTCAAATAGAAAAGGAGTGAATGTGTGACTCAGACAGCACCAAGTTTGTGACTAAGACTCCGGCAGCATTCAATGTTTAATTTCAGTACCAGAATTCACTAGAAAATGTATAATAGAATTCATTTTTGAAGTTCTTCTTTAACCTTAGATGATGACTTACACTTGTGGAAAATATGAAGACCTTCACATTTTCTAAAGAACAGTTCTACTATTTGGGTGGGTTCTATGCTTACAACAACAGAGTCACAGCAGTAGGACTACAAGTATGTTTTGGTCAGAAGAAAACCTGTTATGAGAACCGATCCATAGTCCGTATGGTAGACTTTGGGGAGCTCCTTTTGAGGGCCTTACCCTGCCTGGGGAGTGGAGGGGGGATGACTAGGGGCAGGTGGGATGTTGGGGGGAGGGGAGGGAGAGGGAGAAGGGATTGACATGTGAAGCAAGCTTGTTCCTAATTTGAACTAATAAAAAAAAAAGATATCTTTATTCAGATAAACACCAGCCAAATGCAAGCCAGAGTGTGCCCAGGGCAGCAAGGCAGCGAGGCCAGAGAGAAGGGGCCTCCAATGTGCTTGCAGCCCCTTAAGAGCTCATCCCACGTCATCCTGATCTCACCTTGACCGCGCCTTAACAGGTATGGTCAGGCATACCTGTAGCCAGCCTCTAACAGGCGTGGTTTACTGTCCCCTACAAAAACCTACTCTTCATTGACCATATTAAACCGAACTGGCCTGTGAGAGGATCCCTCTACTGACACCGGTCTTTGCAGTAACTTAACCCTGTCAGTCATGTATGGCCTGTCTACTGGTGGATGCATTCAAGTCAGGCCCCTCACCTCACAAAGACTGCTCTTCCTTGGCCCTCTTCTTGATTTTTAGAACTTTCAGATTCTCTGGATATAACTTCTCACCCCTTTCTGGGTCTTGTGTCCTGCCTGTATATAACCCAAGTACTGCTCTAGTCTTCCCAAGTGAGACTGACCAAGTAGGCATTAAAAAAATCAGTGGCGATACCCAACAGTCCACTTTGAAGAACTGCCAGTCTTTTCTGCCATTTGGCACCATGCACTGTCTTCCTGAAGTTTCCTGTGGGTGCCCACAAGGCCAAACCTAAGGGAACATTTCCAATCCTTTTACAGAATAGACACACCAAGGGCAAGAAACACCAGAGTGTTTGAGTAACAACAGACTGTATTGATAATGATTTCTCAGCAGGAGCCTATTTCTTTCTTGGAATGGCAGAACAGAAAACAATAAAAAGCTAGGTTCTGGCTAGTGTCTCTAGAATATCATGTTCGGACATTCATATATTGGAATTGTTGAACTCTATGTAACACCTCAATTTCAGATGACTTATATTTACAACAAATTGGTTGCAGAGTTTTTGAAATTTGACATTTGTGTGAGTGTATACACTTACATGCCTGATTCTGTGTCTGTCCATGTTTCACTGTTTCTGTCTCTCTGTCTCTGTCTCCCCCCATCCCACCCCACCCCCGTGTGTGTGTGTGTGTGTGTGTGTGTGTGTGTGTGTATGCCTTTAATCTAGGGATTGAGCCTGGACTTCATACACGCTAGCCAAGCACTCTACCACTGAACTTCATGCCCCACCCAGTTTTCACAATCTGAATCTGTCCATTCCCGTTCTCTTCTAGTTCATATACCTTTTGTTGTTCTCGAGACAGGGTCTCATGTAGCCCTGTCTATTCTTGAATTCAGCGTGCAGCTCTGAGTGATGGGCTAACCCATGCACTTTTGACCCATTTTCATACAATTTCTGTGACTGTAAGGCATGGCCAAGGTGACTTTTTTAAATAACATATTATTTCTGACTTTGGGGTTTTCATCTGTGGTTCTAAGGATAGAGCCCTGGGCTCATACGAATTAGGTAGGGACTCTATCAGTGAGCTACATTCCCAGTCAGTCACTGGCTTTAAAAATTGATTTGGTTGCTATTCAGATAACAGCCAACATGCTGTATTGAAAAGGATACTGCCATGAATACTGAACACCAGTGTTTAGTAGAAACTGCTCTTTTTAGATGTAAAATTTCTGAAAGTTGTGGAAAAGCACAGTGCTCTCCCTGCAACCTGACTCGAAAATATTCAAAATGCTTGAGGGGGGTTAAAGAGGTGGCTCGTTGATTAAGAGCATTGGCTGTTCTTTCAGAGAAGCCAGCACCCACGTGGCCACTAACAACCCTTTGTAGTTCCTGTTCCAGGGGATCTGATGCCCTCTTCTGGCCTCTGAGGGACTGCACACATAGAGTGTACAGATACATGGGCAAGCAAAAATACCCATTCACATAAAATACAAATAAATAAATCTTTAGCAATAATGCTTAAGTATTAGAATATCACAAACTAAGTTTTAATTATCACAAAATTATTGAAAGTCTTTTTGCCGCAGGAGACTACTGGATGCTCACTGATGTCCTCCAACCCTGAAGGAGACTTGTCATATATATGTAGCTTTGCTTTGGGTCTGCCAGCATGTCTTGGGAAGGGGAAACCCAAGTGGTAAGAGTTCTTCCACCATTGGGCAGTGATAGTGCACACCTTTAATCTCATCACTCAGGGAGGCAGAGGTAGGTGGATCTCTGTGAGTTCGAGGCCAGCCTGGTCTATAGAGTGAGTTCCAGAACAGCCAGAGCTACACAGAGAAACCCTGTAAAAAAAAAAAAAAAAAAAAAAAAAAAAAGAGGAGGAGGACGACGACGACAACTACGAGAAGAGAGTTGTCTCTGGCCATGAAGCCTCGATAATAAGCTGAGGAGAGCACTGCTGTTTCAGTACTTGGAAACTTAATAAAAGGTATAATTAAGATGTACTAAATATGTAATTAATGTAAATGACTAAGATAGGCAAGAGTGACAGATGAAGTGTTTGTCAATTCAGTGAAAAGATGATGTAATAGGAAGAGGAGAAATTCTGAATAGTCAGCAGGTCTGAGGCCAATTGATATAGCCGTGCTTAAGAGAGGTTTGTTTAGTAGATCGCCTTGGGTTTTGCCTCTCTATACGCTTGGGAAAGACCATTGTAGAAGCAGATGTATGAATGTGAGTTATCAATGAACTCAGCGTCTACATCAAGACACGGAGCTAAAGGAAGTGTCTCACAGTCAAAGAGGACCAAGGGCCTGACTAGATTGCCCAGCAGCTAAAGCCTCTGGAAGGTCTTCAGCACCACCTTGAAGGGGCCTTAAACTACATCTGGTGAACGGTGACATCAGCAAAGCTTGCACAGCAAAAAGATTTCTTAATTTAAAACTCTTGATGAACCATTTTGGGCACCCATAGCACACCACTATTATGCAGGTGTGTGTGTGTGTGTGTGTGTGAGAGAGAGAGAGAGAGAGAGAGGGGGGGGGCAGGGAGAAGGACAGGGAGAGGGAGAGGGAGGGAGAGGGAGAGGGAGAGAGAGAGAGAGACAGACAGAGAGACAGAGAGAGACAGAGAGAGACATGGAGTCTTGCTATGCTGCTCAGCCTGGCCTCAAAGTTAAGAACCTCCTGCCTCAGCCTCCAGAGTAGTTGATATTATGGTATTATTCCATCACGCATGAATCCATCAGATGAAATGAGACAAAATCTCTATCTCTTTCTTCTATAGCTTCTTTCTATGTATTTATTTGCTTATTTGTTCATTTATCTAACCTATTGTTTGAGATTATCATCTATGTATACAATGAAATAAGATATCACCCCATTTCCCTCCTCACATTCCTTATGGAATTCCATTTATACCTCTCAACTTCATCATCTCTTCCTCCTCTTCCGAACACTGAACGTTGTAATTCATTATACACTGGTCGCCCTTGGCCACCATGTTCTTTTTTGTGGGACAGGACACTCTAAAAGATGCCCGTGAGAGTTGTTAGCGAGTAGAAAGTCTGAATGATAAAACCTCAAGCAACAGGACATTGGTGTCAAATTCAGAACAATACAATTTATTTAATTTTGCACTTGGATAATTGTAAAACACACACACAGGAAATTTGAATGCCATTTAGAATACTGTCATGATTTGGTTGAGTGGTAGAAATTTTATTCTAAAATAGTCCAACAAATTCATTTTGAAATTTAATATTCTAAAATAAAAAATGCATTGTATCAAAATTTTGATCATTTAAAAAACTGTAAACACCGTGATTCAAGCCAACCTTTCTGTGCTTTGAGTCGAACCATGTGCTTTGAACACATGACTTCATTTGTCTGTGAAGAATTTACTCTGCTCCCTTCGGGCTTTTTCAAGGCTTTCAAAGGTGATCATTCCCTTTGGCAGCTCCAACTTAGTCTTTTCTGTTTCTAATATGTCTTCAGCTTCACCTTAAATAAAATGCAGAGGTGTGTAAGGCAACAGAGGGGTCATCAGCATTTTGTTATGAGAGGGCTTGATTGCTGTTCTGGTGACACACTGTGTCACAATCTGTATCCATGGCCTGACATCTCAGAGGTAAGCACCTTGTCTATTTCCCTCAGGAGAAGGAATACACCACTTGGAGAAACACCATGATAGACTCTGGAAACCCAGCTGCAGCTGGGTGTGGTGGTACAAGCATATAATTTAGCATTCAGGCGGAAGGACAAGAGGATCATGAGTTCAAGGCCAGCCTGAGCCCCACAGGGAGACTGTGTCTCAGAATGAAAAAAAAAGATAAATGCATGGAGGAGATAGGTATAACTACCTGGATTTGACCAATATACAACACACACACATACAAACAATTGCAAATTTACACTAAAAATAAGTAAGCTGTCTGCAAAAATGAAGAATACTTATAGGAATTATTAGAATTCTTTCCCAAAGGTTTAAAATTCAGCATTTCCAATCCCTGGTCTAGGTGATCAACAGAATATAAGGTAAAGCCTTGATTTGATGTTTGTCAGTTTCCATGACGTAAAATGCTCCCATCATGACCAACCTCAAGCCACCAATGGGATGCCGCTGAGGCTGAAGTTGTGGCTGCACTTTGTTGCATCTTTATGCTGCTTCTGCATTTGTAAAAATGCAGATACTATGATACAAGTAATGTATAGTCATATAGAATAGAGAAATAATTAGAAACAGATGGGTTCTGAATGCTTAATGCCTTTGTTTTAAATATCTTTTATTTAATACAATAAATTTAGTATCTATTATAATTTAATTCTAAGTCTGTATATTCCTATTTAATTTAATTTTAATAAACAACTGTGCCTCACATCCACCAGGCAAAATCTCTAAACATTTATCAAGTCAGTTTTTTGCTTGTTTGTTTGTTTGTTTTTGAGACAGAGTTTCTCTGTATTGCTTTGGAACCTGTCCTGGAACTCACTCTGTAGACCAGGCTGGCCTCGAACTCATAGAGATCTGCCTGCCTCTGCCTTCCGAGTGCTGGGATTAAAGGTGTGTGCCACCAATGCCCGGTGTTCAAGTCGGTTCTTAATTCGCTATTAAGAGCTAACTCCATGCCCCTCTGCTGGAGGGAGCAGAGATGTTAGTCATAGGAATCTTAGGAAAATGATCCTACCAGAATCTACATAAGTCAAATAAGTCAAAGATTTATAAGGAGAGAATACATGTGCATGTATGTTCATGTGTGTACAAGTACATGCAGAGGCCAGAGGTTAACCTCCAGTGTCCCCAGACATTATCTACTCTTTGTTTTTGTTTTTGAGACAGTATCTCAGACCAGCCTGGAGTGTGCCAAGTAGGCTAGGCTGGCTAGCCAGGGAGCTGAGGAGCCCTGCCTGTCTCTGCCTCCCTGGTATTGAGATTACAAACATGTACCACTCGGACCCTCATGCTTGCAAAGCAAGTACCTTACTGACTGAGCCATGTCCCAGGCCTGAGTGGAGATCTTGAATCAGAAGATTAGTTAGGAAACAAGGTTAGGGAGACTTACTTTTCATTCTTTGTAGAAGTGTTCCATAGCCTAGGTCATACTGGTAGGTGAAGATAAAGCTGAGTGGAACGATAGGAAAGAGAAAGGCTGGCTTCTTTTGCTTTATTGCTCTGTTTCAGAAACAGAAAAATGAATGTCAATAATAACTAGCAAATGCATTTCTTGTCCTTGTAAGAAAAAGCACTTACTTTCTGGAAGAATGTATTCCATTTCATAAGTTATTTATTCTTCTATAGAAATTGAATTTCCTTGCCCAGCATACTTCACCAGATTCTTTGGTTCTTCCGGGGTGGGGATGGAGTAGGGGTGGACATGGACTTGCTATGACTTGCTAATCTTTCTTAGACTTCAAGGCTTTGATTGTTCCATTTAAAGCACACAAGGACATAGGGCTACCATTCAGGACCTCCAGGGATAAGCATAGAGGCCATCCATCTTGGTGTCAAGTGAGCCCTCTTTAACTTGTAGACTAGAGAAAAAGACAGAAGGAATGGAATGAACTGCTACTACCCTTGCTCTACAGAGGAGTTAAACTAGGGGGGGTTTCTTTGTTTACACGAATACTCTTGGGTTCAAAGTCCTACCTCAGCCAACTTAACGGTGGCGCTATGATCACGGCAAAGACTGCATTATTTCAGAAAAACCTTCAAGTAAATTGTTAACATACCCAGCTGCTAAAGAGATGGTGGCAATGCCAAAAAAAGTTCCAAAATATTTGAGGAATTCCCGAGACCAGGCGATCTGCATAGCCATTTGTCTTTCCCTCATCTCGTTCTGCATGGTCAGCTGCCTTTCCAGCTAAGCACAAAAGACAAAGTGGGGTTACTCACCTTTCATCTTGGAACAGTATTACAATCTGCTTTTCCTTCTTCATGTGTTCTGATGCATTTTTGTCTTGTTGAAATCACAATAGATTTTGACTAAGTTCTCTGAACAGCTCCGTGAAACTATGGCTTTGGTAGTGACAATCCCTTCAATTGCATACAAAACAGACACTGCTTCTGCTCGCTGAGGTCTTGACCGAATTTTTGTGGACCCAAGCCTCAATATGTTTCTATACCTCTCTGTTTCATGTGAGGAAAGCTCTGGGGGGTCACCTTGCCTGCCTTTGTTGTTAGTTCTTGCTTGGAAATAATTTTGCCTTCCAATCATGTTGCCTTCCAAATACAACCAACTACAAATCGAAATGCCAGGTCGTCATCATACAGTGATGAGGGGGTGTTTCTTTGAGGTGTCAACAGAAGGTTTTTCTTGTCACCTTCTGTGTCTTGTGCCACTTTAGTCAGTGCCTTTCTTGGCTTTGACCAGCACAAATACAGGACACAATACATGATTGGATTTTTAAAGAAATACACAGAAGCAGCAGCCATGGCCAAAATGAAAACCCAAGCCCGTGATTTGAAGAGTCCAATTCTTCAGAGAGAAACCTGTTTTCTTCTTGGCCTCTTAATTCTAAAACCTTGACAGAACATACATATCACCGGCAAAGCTCAGAGATAAAAAGCTAGGGCTCATGATGAAAGAAAAATAATCTGACTTGGTTTCCAGTCATGTCCTTTTTCTAGCATGGCAGGAACTGAGGGGAGAATGGTGAAAGAATAAGGCTTGGGCCACTCCACATCCCAGGGATTATAGGGAGAATGTCAAGCAAACCCCAGGTGTGCCCAGAAATCCTGTAAATAAAGAGGATGCTGAGAGGGGAGAACCAAAGTAGAGAGACAATGGTTGCAGGGAAGACCAGGGTTCAGAGCAGGCCTGAGAGAGAGTTGGGGAAATCTCAGCTACCCAGGTGTCTGCGTGGTCCCCATGTCACCTGGAAAGGTTCCCAGGAGGTAGCTAAAAGTTAGAAGCAGGTGGCATACCAGAAATCACTAAACCACAGGGCCTGGAGAACTCAGCAGACACTTGGGTAGAGAATAAGCCAGAGGTGGTCGGAGAAGACAGTTGGATCTCAAGGGTCCACAGCATGGAAAAGTGTAGGTCATGGCAGACTCACCCGGAGCATGGTCAATGCTCTCAGAACAAATCACCTAATGTTTCCCAGGTGATTGTAAACAACAGCAGAGACATTTCCCTCAACCAGAGATGCTTCTTCTAATGCCAGTGCCACCTGAGGTCGCTGAGGCCAAGCCAAGATTGTTCCAAGGAAAAGTGAACGGAGAAGAAAGAGCAAGAGGTAACTAAGCCACCAGGCCTTGCCAAAATTTGCATTTGTCAGTAGAAGTTGAGGTGCATTTTGAGTTCCATTAAAGATAAATAATATGCCTTTGTATGCATGCATATTAAATGTGTAAAACCCATCCTTGCTAGATCACTTATTTCCCAAACTCATATAATAATGCGTATCTCTCAAAGTGATATAAATACAGCAATTAATAATTTGTGTTCATATAAAAAGGCATCCAGAAAAAAAAAAGACACAGAAAAGCCTAGCATCAGTATCTTCAGCTGTAAACATCTGTGGAGTTCTTCAGTGTAAACATCTGTGGAGTTCTTCAATGTCCCAGTGTCCATCCCAACAGCCTAGAGCTGATATTCCATATGTTAACTGGAGGTAAGTCAGCATAAGTTTAGTTCAAGTTTATTTTATTTTGCAGGTGGTCTAAGTAGCTCTGCTGTACAGTTTGGATTGAAAACTACTGCCTAAAGGAACTATCACAGGATAGATTCTTTTTTTTTAAACCCCCAGTAAACATCAAGTGGATATCGGTCTGAAATTGATGGCTGGGAACTGTCAAAGGGAGTAAGCAGAGAGCTATGTCAAGATTGTGGTACAGTATGATGGGGCAGCAAATGTAAAACACCCTGTCCTTGTCATATGCATAAACTTTATGGTAAAGAGTGCATCCGTTGTGTCAAAATTGTGTAAATCAGCCAGGAACTTAGAGGATGCCCAACATGGGATGAGGCTATGATGAGATTCTGTGACTACACAACAAACACACGATGTAAGAAAGGGGAGGGGAACTATCTAACTATGCAAAAATGGTACTGTCAAAGATCAAAAGGACTGTTCTCAAACACTGGACTCCAGTTGTAAGGCTCTCTCTCACAGAGTACAGGTTAACCGTTCTGCATCAGGCTCGGTAGTGCATGCCTGTAATCCCAGAACTTGAGAGGGAACATAGAAAAAGAATTGTGAATTTGAGGCCTACTTGGGCTACTGCCACCTTGTCTCAAGGAACACCACCACCACCACTACCACCACCACCCACCCAAACACACACACACACACACACACACACACACACACACACGCACAAATATTAATTTACAGCAGTGCCTGGCACATTGTAAGTGACACATGTGTATTTATGTGGTAACATAGTATTGTCAATGCTCTCCAGCTAAAGGCACCTAGGATACACCTATAGTTGAAAATCTGTTGTGGCTAAGTGACTGGTTGCAACAAAGTAGACACTGCAGTGTTGTCTTAGTAAGGGGTCATCACAGAGAACTCATCATGGATCAGAAGGGAGGGAGGGAAGGAAGGAGGGAGGGAGGGAAAGAAGGCAATGACATAATCTCTCACACCACTATAGTTCTAAAAGCTATGAGGTCTTGTTCAAAAATTTTAAAACAAATAAAACTTGAAGTTAATGTTTTTTCTTTGGGGAAATAAAACTAAAAATAGTTATGCCTTAATAGCATTTGGCATCTAAACAATGTCTAATAATTGACAAAACTAAAATACACCGTGTTTAATAAATTTGGGTATCCAATGGCATAACTGTCAACCCCCTAGCCTAATAGATAGATTCAGTAGTCTAAGCCAAAACTTAACAATGAACCTAAAACTAACATCAATTTCCCTAATAGATTCAAAGTGTGCTTATTAAAAATGATCCAAACATTTTTTCCTCTAACAAAAGTCCTACATAAAATATTTGAAGCATGTCAGGACAGAGAGAAAAGCTCTCATCCTCACCTTTTTATTTTTATACCCCCATTAACTAGCCAGGACTAAGCAAGTACTGACTAAATGTGTGACCTTTGGAAAAGTCTCTACTATTCTGTCTTTAACAGACATATTGATATATAGCATTCTTAGCTCTTAACACAGTGTTGAACTCATTGGCTGCCATCTCAACCCTGTTCAAGAATGTGTGATCCTTTGAGAGAAGAACTCACACTGTTTACCGAGGTATTTTAGCTCCTAACTTCCATCTGCAAGATCCAATTTCATCAAAAACTAGGAGAATCTATACTACCTTAAGTTTCCAGCACAAAAACAGGTCAAGGGCTGGCTCTCATGTTTGGTTGACTTGTTTTCTCTCATGTTGTTGCCTGAACACAGCAAATAACAAATAAACGTTTACTGCCCACTAATCTTTGCATGGATAGCCACGCTGCTTTGCCTACAGCCACACTTCATAGCATGGGCTGACACCATCCTTATTTCTCTCTCTGTGTTAGGTTTCTGGTTTCCATTCTACCTCAGTAACATCAAGCTTTCCAGACATTTGGGCACTATAAAGTTGTTTAGGTGTGCCATCTAGTGGCTATGTGGAAAAATGTTCATTTTTAACCGTATAGCTCATCTTCTGTAACAGAGGTTGGAAGAGGTAGTTTCTCTCACTATCCCCCAAATTAACCTCTCTTTCCTCTTTCCTCCCCCTTCCCTTCCCACTCCCCCCTCCCCATCTCTTTTTGGTTGCTGTACTGGGTACTGAACCTAGGACCTCATGAATGCTAGGCAAACACTCTACCACTTAGCCACATAGTTCCTAGCCCTAATACATTGTATGAAATTCTCAAAAACTAATTTTTTAAAGAAAAAAAGTCTTCATAATCAGTCACCAACCATCTGTACCACTGTATAGTCTCCTGAAACTATGCAGGGACCCTGCAATACTTACGTTACATTCTTTGAAGGAAAATGGATTGAATTCAACTGATGTGGTGTGAACAAGGTTTGCAGTAAGGAATAGAGGTTGACTCAATTCAAGACACTGTCGGGTGTGTACATGCACACATACAAGAGTATAGTGAAACTGATGAGTCCTACTTGTATGGAAAGCTCATGGTGACCAAGTCTCCCCCATTCGTGAGATCTGACTCTCCTCCCAGGAAGGCTTATAGAAATGGGCAGCAGGGGAGAAAGGTAGAAAAGTTACAGTTGAGCCCAATACACCAGCACCCACTTCTGGATACAGCTTCCAAGTACTCCATGCTTTAGAATGCTAAAGCTGCCCATACTCTAAGAGGGCCACAATCTGGCTAGTTTAAGCAATAGGAAAAAAATTGTCTCAGTTCTGAAATCTAGAAATCCCAAATCAATGCATCCAATTCCTTGACAAGCTATAAGGAGACATCTCTCTGGCTTGTAAATGACTGTGTTCATATTTGGGGTACAGGACTAAATTTCCTCTTATATGTCACAGACATATCAGATCAAGACCCACCCTAAGGATTTATTTTACCTTAATTACCTCTATGAAGACTCTGTATCCAGTGAGACAGTCATGTTGGGGTTAGGATTCCAAAATTTTGAGAGGACTCAATTTGGCTAGTAATTGAAGGGTCAGAGAGGCGAGACAACCATTGCTTTGTTGCTGAGCATTTGTTTAAGATAAATTTTGCTCTGTGGAAGCCGTGTGATCCTCAGGTATGACATCTCCATTGTGGGGTGGGGAATCCAAAACAGGACAAGTACAAGGAAGGGGCCTATCAGCTCCTCAAATGAACATGGCATGTTTGAAGTGCAGTGTGTTAGGCCTACCTAGCCTTTTCTTGGTTCCATGCAGGTGAAGTAGTCATTGCTCTAAGGAAAATTTTACCCTGTTTTCTTCCAGATGAGAGAAAGCTGCTGGCTTAAGAGGGGCTGGGTTCCTAGGTTGGGTTCACCTTTGATTTAGATAAGCTGAAAATTGATGACCTCAATGCCACTTCTGGAAAACCTACTCACTGGGATTGACTGGGGAGGACTTAAAGCTGTTCTCTTGCCTCTGGTCAGTCAGGTGACTACCAGGGACCATGAATATCCCTGCACATTCTTGAGTGGATGCAAAAAGCCAGGCCCTATTTACTGGAGCCATCTTTTGATTGTGTGTCAGTGAACAACTCCAAGGAATGAAACAACGCCAAGGCCTCCATGTTCCTCTTGCTCATGGTTCATTATAAAAGCAGTAGACTGCCCTACACTCCAAAAGTGTTCCCCATACATGACCTAAATCCACAGAGTGCAGAGCAGGCACTTACACCCATGCCCATCATTGTCACCTCAGTGAGCTTGGAGTAGCATGAGGAAGTGATACTAGCATTACACTCATGCTGCTTCAGTGCGCTGATGAATTCCTCTCATGTAGGACTCTCTGGTTTCCTGTAACTTCCAAGAGGAATAAACTCCCCACATCTTCACAGATCCTGAGGTTGTGTGGACTGATTAAGAAGGAAACTTCTGTACTTTCCATGCACAGGTGGCTCCAACTTTCTGAGATACTGGGCTGATTCCTGTACTGTAGTCACCTCTGGTCACTGCCCCATTACAGAAAAAAAAAAAAACTTGCCCATTCTTTCAATTTCTCTATTTCCACCAAAGAAATCATTATACTGCCCAGGAGCTTGGGTAGATCTTTAATGGCAGCTGGGTATAGTGGCACATACTCATAACCCTAGCACTGAGGAGAAGGAGGCAGGAGGACAAGAGTTCAAGGGCCATCTTAGACTACACAACCAGTTTGAAGCTAGCCTGAGCTACATGAAACCCTAACTTTAAAAAAAAGATTTTAATAGCAATGACAACAACTCCTAATATAAGCAACAGGCATTCTAGTATACATTCTATATGATATACATTCCACATGATGAGTATACTGTTTCCTTCTTGGAGCATCTCTGAAGGGCATGTTGGCTCTAGGGTACAGACCAGGAGACCAAGGACAGGTCGGGCATGCCAACAGGTTAATAAGGATTCAGCCAGGCAGGCTGGTTTACCTTTCACTTGTACTGCCCAAGAGTATCGCTTTCTACCCTTAAGAGCCATAAAAAACACAGGGGCCTCATGATCTTTGTCTAAAATCTTAGCAAAACAATTTGGGCTGAACTTTTGTACATTCAGCTGTGATTTATAACATTTAAAGATACTTGGACAACTCATATTGGGCAATTCAGAAATCTCTCTGATTTTTTTTCTAAACTTCTACTGTATAATCCAAGGTCAAGTATACAGTCTATAGCAGTTTCCTAATGCCACATTAACAAATTATCATCTGGGGTTAAAGGGCAAAAATAGGCCAGCATGGCTGTCTCTCTGGAGACGGCAGGGGAAAATCTGCTTCTTTGGCTTTTCCAACTTAATGAGGCTGCCTGCCTTTTTTGGCCATGGCCCTGACTCACTCCATCTTCAAAAACTAGTAGGGTGTCGCTCAGCTTAGGTTTGTGTTTAAGATGTCTATGTGTGGCGGCAGAATGACATCTTTGAATTCTCTCTGTTTCTCTCTCTCTCTCTCTCTCTCTCTCTCTCTCTCTCTCTCTCTCTCTCACACACAGTCTCCTTATAAGGGCTCTGGGAATTACAATGAACCCAATGGATAATCCAGGCTAACACCTCTTTGTATGAATACACAGTAAAGTCCCTTTCCATGTAAGGTATCATATTCCTAATACATGCACAGGTTCTAGGAATTGGGGCAAGGGTATATTCTGTTCATAATATACTCTAAGCAATTATGTGTAGTGTGGAAATTTTGAAACAAGTATCTGGATTGGAGGCAAGGGCCATTCGCCAACTAGGAAGTCATCCACTTCATCTCTTGGGAGTGGTGCCCAAGAGCATTTTAATTAGGGGGCCAAGGGCATCAAAGAGAACATACATCTAGAGCACCAGTCCAGAAATTTTATGTGATTAGGAGCATAACATCTTAACTAACACGTACCTGAAGTCGAGCATGTGTAACCATGAACTCCTGTTGGTTTTTCATGTTTTCATTCATAGATTTTGAGAATATAAACCCCATCTTGACCTAAAGCATAAAAATGCAAGGCAACTTAATTTATAATTATAATTATTAAATTATATATATATATTAAATTTATAATTTATACAGACTCTGTATATCCTCATACATTCTCTGAACTATCAACAATGTAAAAAAGAGAGAAACTGACCTAGGGAGTAGTGTAAACTCTAACTAGCTGTTTAACCTCAGGCATACTTATCCAGCCTGGCATCATTTACTTAGCCAAGACCCGAAGATTGAAATGATTTCCCATCTCTCCCTGTTCTGTAAATACTCAGTGCCATGTTCCATCATGATCTTCCCAACTCTAAATCTAAGGCTATCCATCTTCTTACCGTCGGTTCAGTTGACAATAAGACCTTGCATCTGAGGACGTGTGTTCAGAAGAACTTTTGTCTGTCCTTCTTGACCTTGTGTTTAAGAATCAGGTGTCAAAGCTGGGTGGTGGTGGTGCACGCCTTTAATCCCAGCACTTGGGAGGCAGAGGTAGGCAGATCTCTGGGAGTTCGAGGCCAGCCTGGTCTACAAAGCTACACAGAGAAACCCTGTCTGGGAAGAACAACAAAAATCAGGTGTCTCATGGCTAGTATATCAATGTTCTTCCTGAAGTCCCATGTTCCCATCCCTCTTTGAAACACATCTCATCCACACCTTCTTGCAGCTGTTATCCCCTAGCTATCCTCCTCCAGCCTCACCTTCATTCTAATGCACTGTAAAAAAACAAAAACAAAAACAAAAAAACCAAAACCAAAAACAAAACAAAACAAAAAACTCCGTGTGTGAGTGTCTATGTCCATTCATGTGTGTGAGTGCAGGTGGGTGTGCCACAGCACATGAGTGCAGATCAGAGGACAGCCCAGGTGTTGGTCTTTACTTCGCACCTTTTTTGAGACAGTCCATTCCACTTGTTGCTCTCAGCTGTGTACACCAGATTAGCTGGCCAGGAGCCACCCAGGGATTCTCCTGTCTCACCACTGGAATTGCCGATGTGTGCTACCATGCTCAAATTTTCATTGGTTTGGGGGCATCCAACACAGGTCTTCATGGTTATATGGTAAGCACTTTACACATTAAGCCATCTCTTCTGCTCAGAAATGCATTTTTAAAAGAACTACATTGTAGAGTTTCTCCTCTCCTTCCAACAGAAGCTACAGCCCAATAAACTCATTGTAAGTTGGAAATATCATTGAGAAAACTGCATTTACTACACCTAATATACTGAACATCATGGTTTACCTTAGCCTACCTTAAATGTACTTAGAACACTTACATTAGCCTACAGTTAAGTACAGGCCTCTTTATATATTAAAGTGCTCAATATAATTTATTGAGTATTATGATAAATCTAAAAACAGAATGGCTGTTCTCTTTTACTAGCCTGGAAATGATTAAAATTCAAAATTTGAAGTTTGTTTCCTTATGAATGCATGTTGCAACTGTGACTGAAGCCACACCCACATCAGACCCCACTTCAGTTTTCATCGTATTACCTTATCTTCCCTAACAGCTACCTAAGGGGGCTGTAAACTGTAGGCGGATCGGAACTCCTAATTTTGTTCTAAATCCAAGTGAGTATGTACAGAGAACATTTTAGTTAGTCATTGATGTTTCTCTCAGAAGACAATAAGGCTCAGGAGAATGTCACAACTTCTCTACTTTCTTCAATGTGATTTAATAGGCTGTTGAATACCTTCACACCACAGTAGCCAGTCTTGATGCTTTACAGACAGGATTAATGTCTGTTTGGATCCCAGACAACAGCTATTTCCACATCTTTCCCCATTAGGAAATCCTGGATTTAGAGTAACTCAGGAAATGAGTGGGGGAAGAAGGGGGGTACAGTTGGAGTGGTTACCCTGTTAGTAGGGTGAGCGGGAACAGGGATGTTTCACAGGGATAGAGAGGGAGCTGAGTGCCAGGCTTTAGTGACTTCTGTGTATTCCAACAAAGAACACACCCTGGAATTACGTGGCACTTGTACCAATCAGCTGCAGGGCCAGGCAGAGGCTAAAGTACTTACTAGGAAGAAAGAGCAGATACCTAAGGATTCCTTATGACGTTCCTTCCTGTTTGTCATTGTCCCACTCAGCACCCTATGAGCAGGGACAAAGGACACTCATGGGGGAGGGGGACCTAGCAGCTTACCCTGTTATCTAAGTATTGACAGCCCAAATGAGTCATTTCCAACTGAGCTTGCAGGAGAAACACTGCCATCCATCTTGATAGTCTTTGTGGCTTCTACTTGCACAAGATGAATGATTCCACACAAGAAAAACTTTGGCTCAGGCTACTCACCATCTCTTATCTGTCTTCTGCATATAGGGATGGAAGGTTTAATTTTTACTCCTACTACGAACATTGACACACACACACACACACACACACACACACACACACACACACACACACATCCGAGTCCCTTGCCAAACTCCTATGAGGGATGAGCTCTCCCTTGCAGTGGTGGGACAATCCTCATGTCAATCATCTAGAGAAGAGAAAGACTTTGGAAAGCTAGGGTCAGGCTTACCTCTTTCTGGGCCTTGACCTCTTGGACTTGGACTTTGGATATATCAGGAGTAATTCTCAGGTAGATGGGTTAAAGACAGAGGGAAACCAGTGTCCCTCTGAGAGAACACACCTGCAAATGATATGCCACACCTTGAAACTTCACCCTTGAACAGAGTTTTCAACTTCTTCTCCCCGATACCTAACTAAACCATTAACAGCCTTTTCTTAGAGTGTTCCAAAAACCCTCAATTTTCTCTCTCCCAGAGACAAAACGTTATCAACAGCTAAATAAGAGTGGCCTCGAATCGACTTTCTTACTGGTAACAGAGGAAACAAGAGTGTTGTGGAGGACAGAAACGTTGGTGGCGCACGTCTCTTATCCCAGCACTCGGGAGGCAGAGGCAGGCGGATCTCTGTGAATTAGAGGCCAGCCTGGTCTCCAGAGCGAGTGCCAGGACAAGCTCCAAAGCTACGAAGAGAAACCCTGTCTCAAAAAAAAAAAAAGAAAAAAAAGAAAAAGAAAGAAAGAAAGAAAGAAAGAAAAGAAAAGAAATATTGATGTGGTTGCTCCTGTTTTTTTGCTTGTTTGGGTTTCTTTCTTTCTTTTTTTCTTTTTTTGTGAGGTGTTAACTCTCCAGCTCTGCACTGTCATGATTATAATTACTGTGGAAAGGTGTGTTTCTGGGGGAATGTTGATGGTGCAAATCCCAGACAGACTTTCTCTGGTCACCCTGGGAACCAAGATTTGATTTGGAAAAAGAAATAATTTGTGACATCTGTCATCCAGATCTCTGTCCTGCTTTATTACCTGAATTTGTGGCTTGTCACATCACCGCAATCATTCTCAATCAATGCTCCAAATTATATTTCCTAGCAAACTTAAGCAGAAGCACATAGCCTCTGGGGGTGTTTTCTGTCATTGTTTCCACTTTGACTCCGTGGAGCCAGTTTACTGTCGTGTAGGTATTTCCCCTAGAGTTATCCCATTTCCCTCTCCTTTGCACTCTGCAGACTTTTTCCAACTTGTTGACAATGCTACTGAGAGATCACACTCCCTCACAAAACAGGGTTGTCTATACCTGTCAGCCTCAGGGGCATTAGCAGAACCCAGAGCCCAGGCCTCCCCTGCCCAGCTGGAGCTGCAGCTGTACAGGGCTATGTAGCCGAGCCGACCCTCCCTCCCTGCAGCCGGATGCACTCACGCGACACAGTGCTGGGAAGGTGACCACAGCGGAGGCCTCTAGCCAGGGCTCCTCATCGATCAGGGCAGGACTGTGCTTCTCTTGGCGGAGCCTAGGGATTGGACGCGCTTCAGCCAATCAGCGTGGCCTTTGGATCTTTTACGGGCTCCAGTTCTCGCGGCCTGGGGTGTCCTTCCGGTGCATGCGCCTGGAGCAGGGAGGTGGGTGGGGCGGGTCAGAGCCGCAAATTGCAACCTGCAGGATGTAGTCTAGCGGATGATTTTTGAGGAAAGGCAGAAGAAGCAGCATGGAAATGTCTCCGGAATCCCGAGCCTGTAAAAAAAACTATTTGCCACCATCAAATAGTTTCAAGTTAAACAGGAAACAAAAGCAAATCACTGAATTTCCATGTTACCTTATGCCCTTTCGATATTATGTACTACTACCAGTAATGTCTGTCTGGAGTAAGTAATGCTCCCCAACCTCTGAAGAAACACCCAAGGACCCATTAGCTACCCAAGGTTTGGAGAAATAGCGTGTGCTCACGCTATTTTCTTTTGGAAGAGCTCCCTGCCTCAACCTTGGCTGACACCACACCATAGAGAAGGCATCCAGCCTCTTCAAGGGACAGACCTCCCAGGCTTGTGTGGATGTTCTCAGCTTCAGTCCTCGGTATTCTTTCTGGATTTTAGATTCTTCATTTCAAACATTATTAGTTCAATAGCCGGATGGGAAAATTGCAAAAATTGGTGGGAGCAGGTGTGTTACCAAGAGTAAAAGCTTTCGAAGGGAGCTGGGCCACAAATCCCTGATAGGGTTTATGCCTGCAGACGAACCATGCCTTGATTCCATTCCCACCCTGTCACCAGGACCCTCTCACTTTGTCACTTCCGTCTGCAGTAGGACTGAAGTTATCTGATTATTGTGCTTCGAGGGCTGAATGAGATAATATATTTAGATGCACACAAGGTTTTCTGCCTGCGTATAGTATTCAGCAGATCATAAATGGCAACCGTGGGAGTTTCTGCTATCTATAGTCTTGAAAGGACCAGGGTGGTTACTAAAGCCAGGTGAGAGTTGACACTTTGGGAGGATGCCCAACAGGAATGTTCAGCAGGGGAAGCCAAGTCCCCCTTTGGGCAGAGAAGGTGAGAAAGGCAACCTTAGGAGGCATGGAGGTCCTTGCCCACAGATAAGCCCTAGGGAAACCAGCAATGTCAAGCAAGCAGAGCTGTATTTTCAAAGGGAGAGATGTGTAACCTGTTTTCTGCCCAGAGCGGTGATGGTTAATAGCCCGGTGACCTTTTCATTATCTGTGTGGCTGAAACCACACAGGATCCTCCCCCAGGCCCTTATCATGAGCTTGTTTTTCTCAGACTATAGAACCTCTCTTTATGGAAGATGCCACATGCAGTCAATCTATAGAAACCATTTTAATTTATTTTCTGCCTTTTCAAAGACTTGCTTATTCTGGACTGTTTGAAATAAATGAAATGACTTTTACTGGCTTCTTTTACTTTGACACTATTTTCCACTTACATCTAAGTTGTAGCAGAGGGGCTGGTGGGATGAGTCAGTGGGTTAATAGGCTTACCACCCTGGGACCCAGTTCTACTCCTGGGATCACATGGTGGAAGGAAAGAACCCATTATTGCAAGTTGCCCTTTGACATCCATAAGTGTTCCATGCATGAGTATGCACTTGTACACAAACACACAATCAATAAATTTGAGATAAAAATTAAACAAAATAAATATGAAGCATGGGTCATTGCTCCATTTCTTGTTGGGGCTAAATGCCTTGTATATGGATATAGCACATTTGTGTGTTCATTCAGAATTGATAGACATTTGGATTGTTCTATTTTGTCAATGTCATAAATAACATTGTTAGTTTTGTAGTTATCTTGGGCATATCTGTAAGGGGTACAATTGTTGGGGCATACAATAATTCAGGATTTAACTGAGTGGGCTGAAGAAACATGCAATGTGATGGCAATAGATAAGGACTCTTATTTCACTGTACACCTGTGTATTTGTTGTGTAGCAGACACCAGAGCCAGAGATCTGGGTTTGAATGCCACTTATAGCATCTCCCATCATGTGAGTTTTGACAAGTTACATGTGCTGTATGTCTCAACTTCAACAGTAGAATCAACTTCAGAAAATAATATTCATAAGACTATTCTACAAGTTGGGTAGTCTAGTGTGTAGACAACAAAGTCTGACATTTTTGCATGCTATGTGTTTTGCTATAACTGATACTTTAATTGTTGTGATTGCTGCATTTCAGCTTATTAATTGGATAGTCTTTTTTTTTTAAATGATGCTACCGCTTGTCAAGGTTTGTCACTGAAATGCAGTAACTGAAGATGACAGACTCAAGGAAAGCTGTTGTGAGCAGGGGCGGTTATACTTCAGAGTGTAACCTGAGTCAGATGAGGCTTCGTGTGGCTCAGTCGAAGCATTTCATAGCAGCCCAAGAATCATAAACCTGACTGGGGAAGAATGATAAGGGTGTGGACTCTAGTCTGCCCCAGCTGTATGTAAATGCTCTGCACAGCTGGCAGGCAGGAAGCTCATAGATGATCCTCTGTGGGGTGCTGAGAGCTGTGATGTCACAGCACCATTTGACTGAAGGCCTGCTAACTTCCTTCTCCTGGAACCCGTGCAATTCACATGACCTTGTTCTCAACCTGTGAATCTCAGCCTCCTGTCCCCAGAACTGCAGCCTGGTCTCTTCCTCCTCCCCTAGAAAACAGCCCCTGAACTCTAAAACTAGCACTGAAGAGATAGTTCATCCAGTTAAGGACACTGGTTGCTCTTCTAAAGGACCAGGGTTTGATTCCTAGCTCCCATGTGGCAGCTTACAACTGTCTGTAACTCCAGTTCCAGAAGGCCTGACATCCTTTTGTAGCACAGACATCCGTGCAGACAAAACACCCATGCATATAAAATAAATAAATTTTTAAAAATAAAATAAGATGGCCTGCCCTATTTTGTGTGGTACTCCGAGACATATATACATATGTTTCTCTCTCTCTCTCTCTCTCTCTCTCTCTCTCTCTCTCTCTCTCTCTCTCTTTCTCTCTCTCTGTCTTTTGGTTTCCATTCCATTTACTGGCATTAAATTCCTAGAAACCTATTATAATTGTGTGATTAATAAGATTGTTTGGTCATCTTTTGTTCTGAGATATGACCCACATAGCTACTAATTCTTTGGAATTTCCTGAGACAGAAGTATTCTCTGCTCTAGTGAAGTGACTCTTGTGAGTTCCTGGATTTGAGCTTGTCATCAGAATGACCAACCTATGGTCAGAGCATGGCACTTTCACCCCAACTCCTGTCCTCCACAAAGGGGAGAAGGGCTGAAAGCTAACTGTGGTGATATTTTGTTTATGATCTAACAAATAAAGCTTGCCTGGAGATCAGAGTGCAAAGCTAAGCCACTAGTTAGCTATAGAGACCAGGCAGTGGTGGCACACACCTTTAATCCTAGAACTGCCGAGACAGAGGCAGACGGATCTCTGTGAATTCAAGGTCACCCTGGGCTACATGAGATTGAGCCAGTCTAAAGGAGAAGCAGAGCTCACACACAAAGGTGATCCCAGCACTTGGGATCATATGTCTTTAATCCCAGCACTAATAGGTGGAGACAGGAGTGATATGGCTGGGCGGAGAGAGGAAAACAAGGAAGGAGGAGACAGGAGCTCAGGGCAGTCTGGGAATTCAGTCTGAGATGCAATCTGAGGATTTGTACAAACAGGATCTCCCCTTTGGTCTGAGCTCTAAGAACTCTAGTGGCTGGCCCATCTGCTTCTCTGATCCTTCAGCTTTCACCCCCTGATAGCTGACTCCAGGTTTTTACGATTAAGGCCGAAGAGAATTCGTGCTACACTGAACTGATTGTTGATGCAGTCTCTATGAAAATTCTCTGAGCCAGAGGTTCAAGCAGCTGGGCTGCAGAGTTACTCTAACAAACCAGGGAGAATCATTGGAATCCTAATTTGTCTCTAGTCCATCGTAAGTTCTGGAGGCCTAGCCTAAGATTGGCCTCTGCCATGGGTTCCATCCTGTGGTGCTTGAATCTTGACTTGTGGGAGGTGACTTGACTTCTCTACGGGTATGTCGGAATTGAACTGATCTAGAACAGCTTCTCATCAAAGTTCTAGGCTTCCATGAACACAGGATCCTCCATCTGCCTTCTTCAGCGGGCTAGAGTGCTTTCAGTAGGATGATACCAGATGACTCCTCTGCCTGAAGCCAGACAATGGATTTGCATTACAATTAAAATCCAACCTTTCTCCTTAACTCTCAAGGCCCTTCACTGAATGAGAGCCAACCTTTCAGTGTAGACTCCGCCTTACAATGGTGTTCTGAGAGAGAACACCTTCACAACTCACACTGGTTCTGCCCTCTATTGAGTAGGCCTCTCCTGCGGATCATTCATGGTTCTCTCCAGAATTCACTTTGTGCATTTCCTTACCATAGAGATGGTTAGTCTTCACCATCAAATAATCTCCCCCCAAATGAATAGGATATGAACAGGAAATGGTGATGTTAAAGATGACCAACGTGTCCCACTATTCAGCCTTGGCTAGCCACTGTTTGTCTCTTGTCTGAATGTTTCCTATTCATTTGTCCAAATCACAAAACTCAAATCATTTTCAGGGCTACTTTTCCCTTACTTAGGCTATTTTGGCTTACACAGTATATTCTGAGTTGATAAAACTTTTTTTTTTTTTAATTAAAGTCATATCCTGCTTTTCTACTTCTGGAGGGCACCAAATTCATTAAGGAGCGTGATCAACTTCACTTCGTGGGAAAATATAAGTCTGAGGTGTAGGAACAGGTGGAGAGGTGAGGGTAATCTTCAGATTACTCATATGCAAATCAGTTCGAGCAGCAGGCTGAGAGCAGGGTTTCAATCCCCAGGGACAGCTTCAGGGACAGCTTCAGTTACCTTGGCTCTTCTACTATTTATGTAGACCTTAAGCAATACTTTTGTAAAACAAAACACCTGCCCCTTCAGTTTTAAAAATAATTCACCTCATAGGAACTACTAAGGGACTATGACTTAATCTGCACTGCTCAAATTGTTATTTAACCAAGAAAACTCAGCTAAACAGTGAGTCTCTAGAGTGAGTTTTTATAGATC